TTTCTTGGTTTGAATTGTCGGAAGAATGAGAAGGTTCTTCTTCTTCACCTTCCGCTTTACCTGCACTTTCACCTGTTGTTCTTTGTTCACCGCTTCCATGTTCAGGTTCACTTGCAGGGAGATCAGCACTACCAGCGGCACCACCATTAGAATCTCCTTCACCTTGTTTTTCCGGAGGTACTTGCTCAGCAGGGGCATCAACGACTTCTCCCTCAACATTATTTGTACCTGTTGGATTAACATTACCCTTAGGAGCAGTAGGAGGTGCAGGAGCAGAAGGAGGAGGAAGAGGACCAACACCTCTATCACCGTTTTCACCGGGTTTACCTTGAGGGCTGTGATCAGTTTGTACAGCGTTCAGCTCAGGTCCTTCTCTTGGAGTTGGAGCCGGTTCCTGTGGTGTAGGTTGACAAGAAGAATCACCTGAAGGGCAACTGCCTTGAGCGTCACGGGCATTGGTAGTGCATTGCCCTGTCTGAGAACAATCCACACAATCTTTAGATGCAGTACCGCCAGTAGTACACTGCGAATCAGTAGCACCTGGTCGACCAGTTTCAACACTACCATTAGGTTTCCTGGAAACAACAGCAGAAGCACCAGAAGGACAACTAACACCATCACCTTGGCAAGTGGAAGAAACCTCATTTAAAGGTTGAATCACTGCAGTTGCCATACAGAGACACTCAACACTCAAAAGTAAAACGAGAAACAATAACACACGTTGTATCATCGTTGTTATAATAATTAGAAATTCTCTCTGAGTTCACTTTTCTACAGATATAAGAAGAGAGAAAAAGAAAAGTCAAAACAAAAACAAATAAGAATTAAAGAAAAGAAAATCAATGACAAGTACAGAACAATCACCTAGAAGGAATCTAATGAAAGGATCATAACAAACATTACCCAGTACTAAGAAGAAAATTCCAATCTATAAAGGAGAAAAAAAGAATCGTAGAGCACAATGACCAGAACCAGAAAGCACACAAACACGTTTCTATGGATCAGCTTGGCAACGCATAAGCACTCATGATCAAAGAAGTATCTGTTACTCTTTTTCCTTACCTTACCCTGCACAGAGCAGATCAACAAAATACTTCAGGGCAAAGCACACAACGCCCTCAGCAAACCACAAGCAAAAAAAAAAGAAAAAAGATATTAAACATTAGCCCAATTTACCCTGTGAACACAGAAATATACACCAACTATGGGTGTAAGTCTATATGTGTATATAAGCAATTATAAATATAAATTCACCTGTTATTATTACTTCCTTTTCTTTTCCCTATCACTACAAAAAGCAAGTTCATCATCATCATCACAGTGCAAGCCCAGGTGCACACACACACAGAGAGTCTCCAAGAACACACACACACACAATGGAGTAGCAATAATAATTATAGGATAAACACACAAAACACATTAACATTAAGAAACAAAAAAAGAAGAAAGAAAATAATCCCAAAAGGTGGAAGATTAGTTAGACTGTAGGGATATATGCAAAAAAGAAGAAAAGAAAACAAAGGATGACCTGAGTCACATCACACCACCATTACTACAATCAGCACACAAGAATACAGGCCAGTGTAACCACAATCAGTAGTGGCACACGCACCCACACAGAACTGCTCATACTGCTGCTG